ACTTATGGCACAGTATGACAAATATCCGTGTCGGATCCTACGACCACCTCAATGCCACCCACATTCATAATCCGGCCATCCGCTATTTCCACCGCATCCTCAGCAACACAATCTTCGCCCGTGACAGCAACCACAAGCTCAACTCCAAGGAGCTCTTCTTTATGCATTGCGCATTCACCAGGCAAAAGATCAATGCCGCCCCGTTCGTACTAGCTCATATCCACTCTATTTGTGCTAGAGGCGGAAAACCCTTTTATTTTGGAGGGCTGGTCACTTCACTTGCCATAGATCTGAACTATGGTGCTGCTCTCGCGGATATGCCTTCTATGGCACCAGCTTTGCTGACTTTGGATCACTGCAAGGCCGCATATCTCATTTATGAGCGGGAGGATGGCAGATTCCACCCTATGATCAGAAACATTGTTTATCAAAACATCACTTTGCCTTGCAGGGACCGAATCGATCCACGAAATTGAGCTAACTGGTTGTTCGATCCTGCAGCTCCCGCGGGGCGTGCTCCTACTAATGAAGACCAACCTGTAGCCCCCGCAGACGAAATGCAAGAAGAGCTGGACAGTGCTCCTCCCGTCCACGACATCCCAGGACCTTCATCTGCACCACCTCCTATTACTCTTGAAGAGGTCCTCCGCGCCATTCATATGCAAAATCAAATGAGCGCAGCGCTTGAAAGAAGACAACATGAGCAATATGAGTATCTATGCGCTCAAAACACTCAGATCTTGACTGGACAGCGGAGCATGCATGAGAGGTTGGATGAGGCCCTGTCAGAGCTCAACGCCTTAAGGCTAGACGTCAGCACCCTTGGTTACCAGGATACTGACACAGAAGCCACTCCTACCAGACGCTCTCGCACCAGGAGTAGAGGACATGGTCACCAGTAGTTTTCTTTATTTTTCTATGTAGTTTATTATTTTTTCTGTTTCATTTCCTTTCCGTTTGTTTTTGTAATTGTACTTCCCCGCCTATATACCGCAACATTGAGGACAATGTCGAATTTAGTGTGGGAGAGGTACCTTTCCATATTTTATAAACTAGTAAATTTTTATGATATGTCTCGATTCAAATTCTTCGCTTTATTTAGCCATACCGAAAATTTTTTATCTTCGCATTAGCCCGACATACCTATTTTAACAAAATCCCAGTTGAGGAAGCCGAAAACGACATAACAAGATCGATACGGTTATGACACCGTAGACTTCCTACTTACGCGATCCGTTTCAATAACCATTATACCGATATCTGGAGTTTTAGTTCTAAAGTAACCCCTAGTAGTTTATACTAGAAGTCAGCACCGTCTTGACACAAACCACGTGGAGAATCGATGAATATAAGTGTTTGATACCTGATCATTAAAATATCCTTCCTATCTCGCTGCTAAAAGAAAAGAAATTTTGTGCACCAAAATATACGGTCACATATAAGAGTTGAGCAAATAACAAAGGAATCCAGTGTTGGTTGGTTCAGAGGTATCTGGTTCTGAACTCGGTAGGGCGTGCTACGGCCCGATCCCCCACAACCTCCAATTTGGATAACGTATGCAGGGTCGCCACATTCGTGTACCAGACCCCGTGCTAAAAGGATCAAAGTCACTAACCGGTTGCTCCACTACGTGCGTGCTAAGACAAAGGGCTTAATGTGAGAAACCGGGTGAAATAGATACGAGGAACTCTGGGAAGAATTATAACGGAACTGTTGGATAGCTCGTTTGAAATGGAAGCCTACGACTAAGCTTATTGCTCGTGTCATTAGCGTATCTTTAGTGTTTCACTCAAGTATTGGCCGAACCGACGATGATTTCCTGAAATTGCTTTAAAAATCCAAGGTATATCATGCATATGCGCTTGACAAAACTTGTCCGACCTCTCGAATGACTATTTGCTTGAGGACAAGCAAAGGTTTAAGTATGGGGGAATTTGATAACGAGAAATCGTATCATATAATTACTACGCTTTTTACCGATTTTTATAATACATTGAGTCGTCTAACTCCTGATTATTCCAAGTTTTTGTGTCTTTTCACAGGTACAACATTTGTCAACTCAAATCAATGAAAAAGGACCACATGAAGGAAGCTAAACAAGAAACAGAAGAGAAGGAACCAAATCTGCAAAATCTGCAGATTTTGTAACGGTGACGACTGTCACACCCTGTGACGACCGTAACACCTCCCTAACTAGAAAGAATGCTCGTCACACATCATTGACGAGCGTAATGCGCTATTTAAGCGCATTACGACTGTCACCCACCTGTGACGACCGTCACACGCGTAAAGGGCAACATTATGAATTAGTGGAGACGTGGGAAACGTGAGGGCAAAACTCTTCTCCTATATTTCCTCCACTCAGTAACCATGCATCATGGTCTTACTCCACTCAAGCCTTTTCCAAGATTTTCTCAACTGCAATATTTTCTCCTATATATATGTGGTAGTTCAATGGATGATGGTCGAAGAATTTTTCCCAGAACCAAATTTCTATTTTCCTGCAATTATTCTATTTTTCTGCTTTTGAGTTTTTTCTACACGTACTGTAATTTTTATTTCCAGCATTAGTTTTAGAGTGTTAATTCTTCATCTAAGAATTAACACAATTATTGATTTCGATTGAGCTGCAAGGAATTTGTAACATCCAAGATTACTATAGCAACATTATTTCCAGGTTTTTATTGCAATTAATATTTATTCATTCTTGTGATATGTCATTTATTTTTATGGATTATATTTTAAATTGCATAGTTATTAAATATATTATGTCCGGCTAAATTAATTGTACTGGTATGTGACTCCTAAGTACCGAAAGAATTCAGTGATACCTTGGCTAAAAACATTTATAAACAATTTTTGGTTTCCAATTTCCATGTTTAATTTAACTACCCTTGTCACGAGAGTGAGAGGATAATTAACACGATTTTGCCACGAGAGTGGGAAATTAATTAAGGCAAGAACCTGCATGCGAGAGCTGAGGTTCAACCCAGATAGTGGTAACGAAACATTAATTTTTAAATACATGAGAGTATTTTAATAAATTAATTAAACTCAAATTGTTTTCAAAAAGTGTTATTAAATTTAAAGTGCATCCACTAGGTTTAGTAGCATGACTTATTTCATGAACACGAGAGTGTATGTCTCAGGTTTTTAAACAATTCGTTTTTACCGAAATACTTTATATGCCAAGCGATTCACCGAATTCCCAAAGTCCGACTATCACATACCGATATAGCTATTACTATTATTTTTAATTAAACTATTTCCCCCTAAAACCAAATATTCATCGCTTAGTTAAACAACTATAGTATTAGATCGTACGCATTGATCCTCAGTCTCTGTGGGTTCGATAATCATTTAAAACTAGAACGACTAAACTGTATACTTGCAGTTAGTATCCCTATAGACTTATAAAGTCCCGATCAAGCATAAGTTAGAAGAAAGAAAATAAAACATGGGCCATCATAACTTCAAGTCTTTAGAGTCTTCAGAACTTCGTCTTCAGAGTCTTCAGCACCCTTTGTCTTCAGAAACATAAGTCTTCAGCATCTGAACTGTTCATCATAACTTCTGTCTTCAGAACTTGGTTTCTTTGGTCGCGTATTAGAGTCTAAATTTCAGAGCCTTCTAAAGTGGTTTGCTACTGTTCATTTAAACTTGTGTAGCGCAGAGGCGGAACTTGGTCTCTTCTCATGACTTGGCAACACCTTTCATCAGAAACAGAACTTGTTTGTTAAATACTAAAAATAACAAACATTAGAGTACAAAAATTGTTCATACAAAGATACTTGTTGTTATCATCAAAACTAAGAGGTATAATTGCAGAACCAAATCTTGTTCTAACAGAGTGAACACGAACCGTGAGTTCATCATGGGGTTGAGAGAAAGAAGGGACCGTTGAGAAGAGGTGTGTTCGGTCTAGAGATGATGAGTTGAGATCAAGAGAACATTGAGAGTTTTGTTATGAGTTTAATTCTTTTTCTTTTTTCATGAAGAATACAAAAGAAGAGAGTATGTATATAAGAGGCGTTTGCCTCATGTATTTATGGTTAGTTCAACCTGTTTATAATCAAGTTAAAGGCTGGGTCTGAACCCGATTCGGTCCAGTCCAGTGTATTTTTTTCTTTTTTTTTCTTCTTTTTTCCTTTTTCTTCTTTGTTTGATAACTGAGCTTGTTATTTTCTTAAAAAAACCTAAGTCCATATCAAATTTTTGTTTCCACCCCCTCATTTTTGGCTTGCATCTATTATACCAGTTAGCTTCTTATTATCTATTTTTTAGCTTTATTTATTTTTAACTAACCTAATTTAATTTATTTCCTTAAAAAAACCAATTCAATAATAATCATATCTTAATCACTTGGAAATTTTTAGTTATTAGTTTAACTTTTTAGATTTAACTTTTTAATAACTTTTCTATGATTTTTTAATCTTTTTGTTTTAGTTAGCGCATACTAATTAATTTGCTTAGTTACTACCCTTCCTACATGATCTTATTTGTCCCATTAATTTACTTCTCATTGTCCATTAGTCACTAATTCTTGTTTGACTTTTTTGGAGTTTTTTTTCTTGATTAAATGATTAAATATATGTTGGTCAATCCTGTTGCTATTTCTTTTCTTGTCGGTTAATCTCAAATTCATATCCATTTTGTTGCTTGTCTAAAATTCAAAGATTGTGTCGTTGACTTCATGTTATTGTGTGTCTATTGTATATTTATTTTTATCTTATTTATTTCTCTTTAGTTAAAATTATTTAACTACTCTTAAACTTTTAAATTTTTAAATAATTTTTTTTCATACGTATGAAAATAGTATAAAATATTTCTTTATCGAATTTTAAATTCCAAAACCATGAAATTGACTCGTGGAGTGATCAATTAGCGTAATCTTCCTCATAACCTCAATTGCCGACTATTTTGTTTATTTTTCACACCCGACAACTATCTCCTTCTCATTACTGAAAAAGTAAAGTTAGTGCGGAAACCTTTGAAAAAAGGTGTCCTCCCAACCAAAATTGACCGCTACCTCTCGTCAACTGCCGACTTCCCTCACAGGTCACTCTCAACTCGCCTCTCTTGTTTTCATCTTCACTCCATTATTTGACAATCATTATTCCCTTCACCTTCATTCCCACGCAACAATGCCGAATTATTTTTCATATTTATCGCTCTCACTAACACTACTCTTTACTCTTGCAGTTACAGTAACGGAATCGTCTAAATTCATGGACATTGTGAAACCTTCAACCCCTCTCGTATCATTTCTCCAACGTCTTCAACAAACCGCATTCCACACATTCAACGATCCTAAATTCGACCCCAAAACCTACGTCGATTTACCTCTTAAATTTCCTCTTTCTGTAACCGAACTCGCCTTCCAGAATCTTCCCAAATCATCCACCGCTTCTGTTTCTGTTGACGATTTGAAGCATTTTATTGGTGAGTATTTTCAAGGTGCAGGCGATGATTTGGTGTACTTTCATCCAGAGGATTTTGTTCCCGAGCCTGAGGGTTTTTTGCCCAAAGTGAAGAACCGTGAGGTCAGAGATTGGGCGCTTAAGGTTCACTCTCTTTGGAAAAACTTGAGTAGGAAGGTATCTAGTGAGGTCAACACTCACCCTAGTTATCATACTCTTCTTCCTGTTCCTGGTAATGTTGTTATTCCTGGTTCGCGGTTTCGGGAGGTTTATTATTGGGATTCTTACTGGGTCATTAGGTTTGCTTCTTTTTTTTTGTTTCTGTTTTTGATGTGTTTATGTTTTTTTTTACTAATGTGTAAGTGATTTTTTTTAATTTATTTTTGGTTTTTTTTTCAGAGGGTTGTTGGCGAGTAAAATGTATAAGACTGCTAAATCTATTGTCCTCAATCTCATTTCATTCATTGATGAATATGGGTTTGTTCTCAATGGTGCTAGAGCATACTACACTAACAGGAGGTACCTGCTTATTGCTCCCCCATCATTTTCTACTTATTGCAAACTTGTGTCGTTACTCAAACTATAAGAGAAGTATAGAACATTATGATAAAAACATGGTAATGGATAGAACATTATGGAGAAAATTGAACCATGTAGCCAACCCCGTTTAGTAGGATAAGGCTTGGTTGTTGTTGCTGTTGTTGTATCTATCTAGAAGAGGATAATGCTAATTTGGAATCAATGTGCCGTGGTGTTAAATACGAATCCGGATTCCCTGCATTGGTAACTACAATGCATTAACAATTACAAACATTTACACACATTAAATCGTCTCGGCCATTGATTTGAGATAGATTGATCCACTTGCCTTATATCTTTACTAAATTATCTTATCTCTAAATACGTTAAACCGTTGTTTTTTTTTGGCTTTCGCACTCTGGTTCCCGGGGGAAAGGGGCCCTAGTAATTCAGAGCTCGTGCCGAGAGGTATGGGCACTGGCCAAGCATTGTTCCCGCCTAGGAATCAAACCCGGTATTCCCCGGATTACGTCCTTAGCAGGAGCTCCTTTACCACTGGAGCCCAAGCTACTTGGTTTTTAAACCATTGTTTTGAGATTGTGCAACCTAGATTGTTTATTGTGTCTCACATTTAATGCGCGACATCTAAACGTGTTAAGTATCTTATGAGTACCTTTTAGTGCGAGGATTAATGTTTATGAGTACCTTTTAGTGCGAGGATTAATGTTTAGTTGCTTATCTTTTCGTTGAAATATATTTTAATCCTATTGTGCAGGTGAACAAACAATTTATTTTTATGGTTTTATAATTCAATCTTTGATCTTAGAATAACTACATTTCAAACTTTTGTGACAAAAAGAAATTATTACCATAAGTTTTACTCTTTCAAACAGAAATGATAATAACAATAAGCTTAACTATGACTTTACAGCCAACCTCCTCTTTTAAGCGCTATGATTTATGAGATATACAGTATCACCGGTGATGTAGAATTAGTTAAAAGATCGTTACCTGCACTACTGAAAGAGTATGAGTTTTGGAATTCAGGTATTATGCCAAAACTTGTGCCAATATCACTTGAGAGTTAGTTGGTTAATGCTTGAATATACATACCTCTTAGCTTTGCTCATGTTAATTGTTTTTTACTTTTTATCGTCTTATAGATGTACATAAAGTGACTGTTTCGGATGCTCAAGGTTGTACTCACACGTTAAATCGCTATAACGCAAGGTGGAACAAACCTAGACCCGAATCGTCCACAACGGTGTGTTTGGTATGTTAATAACTGAGGTACAAATGAAATGACATTTAACCTACATCTTTGGGTAATTCCCTTCCATAGGACAAAGCATCTGCTTCCAAGTTTTCGACTGCTTCAGAAAAACAACATTTTTACCGTCAACTGGCATCAGCTGCAGAATCAGGATGGGATTTCAGCACAAGATGGATGAGGTACTACTTTATATACAAGTCATATAAATATGTGCTTAAGCACTGAAATGCAGTTGTGTTGGTGCAGAATGTGTTCTAGGCTGCCTAGCTTAATCAAGGCACTTTCAATCAAATGCTCACTTTTCGTACTACACACATCAGCATGTGTCTAACGTGTTTTTATATAAGTAATCAATAATACTTAAATACTAATATACTATGAAATCAAATCATGTTTTGATGCAGACACCCTCCTAACTTCACAACATTGTCTACAACGTCAGTGATACCTGTTGATTTAAATGCATTTATACTTGGGGTAAGTCTCAGAAGTTGGAGTAAACGAGGACCTGAAATAAGTTTTCTATAACCTGATGAAATTCTTTGATTCTCATTGATTCAGATGGAACTTAATATTGCCTTCTTTGCAAACGTTACCGGAGATAATAGCACTGCCAAACACTTCCTGCAAATTTCTGATGTTAGAAAGGAGGCAATGAACTCTTTTTTCTGGAATGCAAACAAGAAACAGTGGTTTGATTTCTGGCTCAGCGATGCCAAACCTGAGGTATTTTCAAGTGCTACTTGTATAATTTTACCATATGGGGAGCTGCATTAGTCTTCTGCAGATTTGCTAACTTTTTTGAGCCTTTGATACTTCTAGAAGGTGCATGTTTGGGATACTCTTCACCAGAATCAAAATGTATTTGCTTCCAATTTTGTTCCTCTGTGGATGAAGCCATTTTACTCAGGTATCTTGATAATGTACACGTTAACCCTAGTAACAATTAAGTCAAGTGCAGGCCTTGCTGTTGCAATCGTGCTATTTTCTAATTTGCAATATTGAAATTTATTAACATGGAGTTGCCTTGAATGCGCATGCTTATCTATGGAAAATTAGGAACTTAGGATCAAATAGAAGTGTAAGACATATAATTACTCCATCCAAAACTTAATATAGACTGTGAATGTCTTCTAAGTTAACTAGTTGTCTTATTCATCTAGTATGCCAATTGCCAAATTTTAAATTTAACTGTAGATTAGTAAATTTCATAAATCAAATAGTTGGTTTTGAAGTAATCGGATAGAAAGCAAAACCGTTTGAGATTAGCATGTAGAACTGTCAGTAATTTCCTTAAGGCTATACGCATAACATTAAAGAACCGTCAGTTCTGGATTACGATGTTGATTAGGTATACATGTTCTACATTAATATCTAATCTATTCCTGAGCATTTCTGAATTTTGGACATGTTTCATGTTCTACATTAGATATCGATTACATATAGTATGCATAGCCTTTACTCAATGACTATCTCTACAATTTTCCTGTATTTTGTGTTGATGATTAATGTGTTTTATATTTATCAAGATGCTACACTTGTGACAAATGTTCTCAAAAGTCTCAAAACTTCTGGCCTTCTTCATGCCGCTGGAGTTGCAACTTCTTTGACTAATTCAGGACAGCAGTGGTAAGTAATAGGCAATTTTGAATTGGTAAATGTCCTACTGGCAAAACTTTTTTACATATTTAAGGAGAGGTAAAATATTGCACATAATCTGCTTATTAACTACTCTTATGAAACTTGCAATAGGGACTTTCCGAATGGTTGGGCTCCACTTCAACACATGTTAGTTGAAGGCCTTGTAAAATCAGGGTTGGAAGAAGCAAGGTCATTGGCTGAAGAAATTGCCATCAGATGGATCACAACAAATTATATTGTTTACAAAAAAACTGGTGTAATGCACGAAAAGTTTGACGTTGAGAAATGCGGAGAATTTGGAGGTGGAGGTGAATACGTACCTCAGGTATGACCAGCTCTACACTCTATCATTGCAACTTTTGGTCTAGGGAAGCATTTTAAAAACATATGCTGTCGCTTTTGTGATTAGAAGAAACCAGCCTTGTAAAAATGCATGGACAGTGTCAATTATTTATAACCGTCAAAATGATAGTTTGTGATTGGTTTACGATTACAACGTATCAAAATTAATCTCTATATGCAAATGATATCTGTATGGACATAAATCTGACTAGTTGTAATGCAATGCAGACTGGTTTTGGCTGGTCGAATGGAGTTGTGTTGGCATTCCTGGAAGAGTTTGGATGGCCTGAAGATCGTAATATAGAATGCTGATAAGCTCAAATTTATAAAACAAAATGATTCACTAATATCTTTCATTTTTATTTTTTATAATTCAACTTTGTCAAGATCTAAAATAAACAAACCCAAAGACTTTATGTAAATAAATGGACCTTTGGACTACTTGTTCGGGGTAGTTGACTTTGGGAGAACTTTCCTCGCCCAACATCAGTTCATATGTATGCATTTGAAAAAAAATCACTACACTTTGTTCATGTGTATTTTCGAAAATAGTTCTATAGACTTTTGGACTATCTCATGATTCATTCATTTATGATGGTCTCTTTTTAGAAGGTACTAGTACTGAATTATAAATCACTTTGTATTAAAAAGTTGAAGGGATGATCTTGTATTGATAGTGGTTCTCATTTTCGAGTTCTAGTTTGCTCATTGAAGGAGTGACAGTTTGTTTGGGGTTTTGTTGTTTTCTTCTTTCTAGTTGGTTTTAGGTGTTGTTTGTATTTTCTTTTGTTTTGGATTTTTGGACAGTCCTTGTGCCTACTTGTGCTTCTCTGAAATCCTTTTTGGGAACCTTTTATTCATATATAACAGATGGTTGATAAACTCATCTAATTAACTAGATAACAAAAATCAGTAATTTTTCTTAAACATGGCTAATTAATTGATTTTAGATATGCCAGACTCATCTCTAGCAATAGGAAAAGCTAAAACTTCTTAAGTATCATTTGAGTTTTATAAATACTTATGATGTTCAATTCATCTTCCACTAATCTCTATTCTCCCCATTCTTACCGACTCCATTGGTGATTCTTTGTTATTATCAAATTGATATTCTATAAAAGTCTTCTGTCTTCTCCTAGAGGTTGAAAGGATTAGTTTGAAGTGTTTGACACTTTAGGTCTTCTATGATCACATTTCAACCATGTTTCATCTGAAAGTGATGTACTTGCGCCTAAAAAAACAGTTTTCATTTCAATACCAAGTAAAAAAATAACAAAAATAAAATAACAAATTACGATTCGCATTTCCACTCCTCTGGATTAATGCAAAGATTTAAAGGCCCCTGTTTACAAAATTGATATAAAAACATCTTGGATTCCTTGCAAAATTAAAGAATTGTAAAATGAAGTTGCATATGCATTATTTTAAAGGATTTAGTATGTTTAAAATCCATTTAAAATTAGATATTTTTTACTTTTCGTCCCTCTAAAAAATTCCGTTAAAGAATCTTTTTTCAAAAAGTTAAGAATTTTAATTTTTGGTCTCTCTTGTAATTTAGCAACGATTTTTACAACTTAACGATTGAATTTGTTAGAAATCTACCAAATATCTATGATGAATTTCTATCAATCTTGATGAACAAGATTGATATCACCACACAATGACAATGAATTATGAGAAAAGAAAAGAAATAAGACAATTATTTTCTGCAGAGTTTCTCTCTGTCCACAAACTGTGAAAAACTTTGTTATTCACTTGCAACTGCAAATTCTGTGAATACAACTTAATTGACTTTATTGTCTTGATTACAAAAATATGGGTTACTCCCTTTATTTATAGATTTAGGTTAGCTTGTTCCTAAGTCAAAGCCCAAAACTATAATAGCCTAAAATATCTATTTTAGATCTAAATCAAATTTATCTAAATTTAAAACCAATCAAATCTGTGTATAACTTGCTTCGATCCACGTGCTCTTCGAATGGACAATCTCCCTTCGACACACACTGTTTCGACACTCTTTTGACTCTGTCGAGCAAACTGCTTCGACATAAGGAGTTACTTTCAACACACCACCTAATTCATTGTGTCTAAGTTATCTACATTCATCATAGCTCTTAGTCTTCGAAATACTTCGACCTGCACACCCTTCGTCATAATGTCTGCAATCTGATTCTCAGTTCTGCAGTGTTTCAAATTCATCTTGCCATCTGCTACCTGCTCTCGAAGATAGTGGAACCTCATTTCGATGTGTTTGCTTCGACCATGTGCTATCGGGTTCTTCGCCAGATTGATAGCTGACATGCTGTTGATCTTCATGGTAATTGCTCCATGATCTTTTCCTGTTATCTCTTCGACTAAGTTCACCATCCAAGTTGCTTGACATGCACAAAGAGAAACAACTATGTATTCTGCTTCGCATGATGATAATGCCACTACTGGTTTCTTTCTTGAACTCCAAGCAACTGGTGCACCACCTAACATAAACACATATCCCGCTGTTGATTTTCGATCTTCAGCATCACTACACAAACTCGAATCAGTGTATCCCACTAACTTGCATTCTTTTCCTTTATCAATTGCATGAAACAAAATGCCATAGTCGAGAGTTCCTTTGAGATACCTTAGTATCCTCTTCACCGCTGCTAGATGTAATACCTTTGGCTTCTGCATGAACCTACTTACCATACCTACACTATATGCTAAGTCAGACCTTGTATAACAAAGGTATCTCAATGACCCAATAAGTCTTCTGTATTGGGTTGGGTCGACATCATCTTCATCTGCGTCTTTCGACAGTTACGGTCTTGGTTCTGCAGGTGTCGAAGTTGAGTTGCATTCTTCCATCTCAAATCTCTTGAGAATTTCTCCTGCATATCTTCTTTGATGCATCATCAAACCTCTACTGCTCTTGTAGAATTCGATGCTAAGGAAATATGAAATCTCACCCAGATCAAACATTTCGAATTCCTTACTGAGATCACATTTGAAGTCTTCGATCTCAATTTTGTAGCTACCTGTTATCAACAAATCATCGACATAGAGACATAGTATAAGCAATTCACTATTTCTTCTTCTTACATATACTCCATTTTTAGTTGTGCACTTCACAAATTCCTTCTCCCTTAGAAAACTATCAATTTTCTTAATCCAAGATCTTGGATCTTGTTTCAATCCATACAAGGCTTTATGCAACCTGTACACCTTTCTCTCTTCGTCATATTTCACAAATCCAACTGGTTGTTTAACATAAACTTCTTCTTCTAAGGGTCCATTCAAGAATGCACACTTCACGTCCATCTGACATATGTGCCATATATTTATTTCTGCTAGGCCAACAACCAACCTGATTGTTTCGATCCTAGTAACAGGTGAAAAAACTTCATTGAAGTCTATTCCTTCTTTCTGTAGAAATCCTTTTTCCACAAGCCTTACTTTGTGCCGAGTTACTTCCCCTATGGGATTCATCTTTACTTTGTATACTCACTTGAAACCAATTTCCTTCTTGCCTTGAGACAATTCGACAAGTGACCAAGTGTTGTTGTCTTTGATAGACTTCACTTCTTCATTCATTGCTTTCACCCACTTCAAATCTTTCAATGATTCAGATGCATTGATAGGTTCGACATCTGCATAGAAAGTATAATATACTAACTCACCTTCATTATCTATCACATCATCTGATGTAATCACACAATCTTGCAATCTTGCAGGCATGCGTCTTGTTCTTTGAGGTATGCTTGTACTTGGTTAATCTATAACTGCTGGTTCCTCTTGTCGAAATTCTCTTTCGGCTTGAGTTTCTGGTTCTTCAAGTAGGATTCCCACTGAATCTTTCTTGACATTTTCAACATAATCCCATTCTTTAAGCTCATCTATGATCACGTCCCTGCTGACCACAATCTGCTTGTTCACTGGGTCGAATAACTTGTAACCTCCTGTCAAATGATATCCAACTATAATCATTTGACTCGACTTGTCATCAAGTTTTATTCTCAACTGATCTGGCACATGTCTATGTGCAATAGATCCAAATACCTTCAGATGACTCAAGCTAGGCTTCACACTAGACCAAAATTCTTCTGGAGTAATTCCTTCTAGCTTCTTCGTAGGACATATGTTCAAAATATATGTTGCAGTCGACACAGTTTCACCCTAAAACTCTTTAGGTAAATTCTTGCCTTTTAACATACTTCTCACCATATTCATGATGGTTCAATTCTTCCTTTCCGCAGTTCCATTATGTTGTGGAGTATAGGGTGGCACCACTTTATGCACAATCCCTTCCTTTTCACATAACCTGTCGAAGTCTTTCGACACATACTCTCCACCACCATCCGTTCTAAAAACTTTGAGTTTTTGACCACTTTGTCATTCGACCATAGACTTAAACTTGGCAAATACCTAGATCACTTCACTTTTCTTCTTGATTAGGTAAGTCCACAGCTTTCGAATGAAATCATATATGAATGTAACAAAGTATTTGTTACCTCCCATCGAATCCACCTGGATTGATCCACATACATCAAAGTATATGACTTTAAGAATAACCTTCAACCTACTTCCTGCATCCTTGCTGAAGCTATTCTTGTGCTGCTTCGCCTGCACACATTACTCATATACCTCATTTGGAATGTCGATTTATGGAAATCCTGAAACCATATTTCTTCTCTTCAATTCTCTAATGTCTCTGAAGTTTAGATGGCCTAGTCGATAATGCCATATCAATTCATCTCTTCTAGCTGCAGTCGAAAGGCACTTGTGCTCCATCACATTTAGTTCGATCTTGAAGGTTCTATTTTGAGACATAGGAGCCTTCACGATTAATCTTCCATTTGTGTCGATGACTCTCACCATCTTATCTTCGACCGACACTTTATAATTCTTTTCAACCAACTGCCCTATACTGAGCAAATTGCTCTTCATGCCTGGTATGTACAACACATTAGAAATTACTAGCCTCTTTCCATCTTTCCTCATAATCATAACATCACCAATATCTTCAGCTGCTAGGGTATTGTCATTTGCGAATTTTACCATATCTTTCATTGAGGGCTTTATGTTGACAAACCAATATTTCCTTCCAGACATGTGATGAGCATCCTGAATCCAAGTACCATTGGTCTTTGAATCTATCTTCATCTCTTGTTGTGACCATCAACATCATCTCTTCTTCTTCATGTTTTGCAAACTTTGCATCACTTTCTTGATTCTTTCATTTTTCTGGACAATCACTCGAATAATGACAATACTTCTGACAATTGTAACATTGAATGTGACTCTTGTCAGGTTTTCGACCACCACCTCTTCCTCTA